CTGAAGGCACTGCTCTTTCCTGCCCCCTCCCCCTCCCTCATGACCTTCTGCAACTCGGACTCTCCTGCTGCCTCTGCCCTCGTTGCTAAGGAATTTACCAGAACACGACCGGTCCTCTCACTGTCTCCCTTCTTTAAGGGAATCCCATAGGTCATCACACAGCATCTCCAAGAGATGCTGAAGTGTGTCTCTCTCCTGTCTAAGTCTCTCTCTCCCCAGATAACCCATTCTCTCTCTTCAATGATCCTCCCTCTCCTCGATAATCCTCTCTCTGTCTTCAATAACACTTTTCACTTTCTCGATGAAAAGAGATCCTACCATCCCAGCTGCTACACAGCCACTCAGGGTCTCTAAGTAGTCTTTTATCTCACAGAGGTCTAATTCTGCAGCTTCCAGTGCTCCTCTCTTTCCCAGTACTGGGAACGCTCCACCCCTCTAGGAGGTGCTTTACCCTAGATCAATTTCCCACTAGGGCCTCCACAATCAGAAGCCCCACATACAGGGGGTTCCAAAATAAAGCTGCACCCTCTACCACTGCAGCCACTGGGGACTCCCCATCATCCCTAGAGGCAGCCTGCCCAATGGCTGCCCCCATGAAGAGAGATTTCGGGTTCAGAGGTCCTGCAGACTACTGCCAGATGTAACTGAAATCAGTCAAAGGGAGAAATAAAGTTTAAGAAACCCATTTATTTTTTAAAAGTAGTCATCCCATCTCTCTCTGGACGAGGCTGCAGCAGATGAGTCCCACCCAACCTCTCTTCTCTGGTCCAGGTCCAGAAAAACCCTCAAGCCCTTGCAATTACCTATTGGTATGTAGATTGACTAATTCTCTCCACCCTGTGGAAACACCTATTGATACGCAGATGCTCTAAAGCCAGGCAACAGATTGTGGAAATATTGCAATTTTACCCACAACTACAAATGTCACATATGAACTGCCCCCCCCTACTCCTTACATTTTTTTAAATTAAGGTATTATTGATATACACTCTTATGAATGTTTCACATGAAAAACAATGTGGTTACTACATTCACCCATATTATCAAGTCTTTACCCATACCCCATTGCAGTCACTGTCCATCAGTGTAGTAAGATGCCACACATTCGCTATTTGTCTTCTCTGTGGTACACTGTCTTTCCCGTGACCCCCCACACCATGTGACTAAACACAATGCCCCTCAAACCCCTTCTCCCTCCCTCAATACTGACCTCCCACACCCCTCCCCTTTCGTAACTGCTAGTCCCTTCTAGCAGTCTGTGAGTTAGTATCCTCTTTAATTTCTCTTAAGAGTGTCCTGTAGTTTTCAGAATATAGTTCTTTCACTTCCTTGGTTAGGTTTATTACTAGGTATTTTATTCTTTTTGATGCAATTGTGAATGGAATTGTTTTCCTGATTTCTCTTTCTGCTAGGTTATCATTAGTGTATAGGAATGCAACAGATTTCTGTGTATTAATTTTGTATCCCGCAACTTTGCTGAATTCAGATATTAGATCTGGTAGTTTTGGAGTGGATTCTTTAGGGTTGTTTATGTACAATATCATGTCATCTGCATACAGGGACAGGCTGACTTCTTCCTTGCCAATCTGGATGCCTTTTATTTCTTTGTGTTGTCTGATTGCCGTCACTAGGAACTCCAGAACTATGTTGAATAAAAGTGGGGAGAGTGGGCATTCTTGTCTTGTTCCCGATCTTAAGGGAAAAGCTTTCAGCTTCTCGCTGTTAAGTATGATATTGGTTGTGGGTTTGTCATAGCCTTTATTATGTTGAGGTGCTTGCCCTCTATGCCCATTTTGTTGAGAGTTTTTATCGTGAATGGATGTAATTTTGTCGAATGTTTTTTCAGCATCTATGGGGATGATCATGTGGTTTTTGTCCTTTTCTTTGTTGATGTGGTGGATGATGTTGATGGATTTTCTAATATTGTACCATTCTTGCATCCCTGGAATAAATCCTACTTGATCATGATGGATGATCTTTTGGATGTATTTTTGAATTTGGTTTGCTCATATTTTGTTGAGTATTTTTGCATTCAGGTTCATCAGGGATATTGGTCTTTAATTTTCTTTTTTGTGGTTACTTTGCCTGGTATTGGTATTACAGTAATAATGGCCTCATACAATGAGTTTGGAAGTATTCCCTCCTCTTCTACTTTTTGGAAAACGTTAAGGAGGATGGGTATTAGGTCTTCACTAAATGTTTGATAAAATACAGCAGTGAAGCCATCTGTTCCAGGAGTTTTATCCTTGGGTAATTTTTTTGATTACCAATTCAATTTTGTTGCTGGTAATTGGGCTGTTCAGATTTTCTGTTTCTTTCTGGGTCAGCCTTGGAAGTTTGTATTTTTCTAGAATGTTGTCCATTTCCTCTAGGTTATTCAGTTTGTTAGCATATACATTTTTATAGTATTCTCTAATAATTCTTTATCTTTCTGTGGTGTCCGTAGTGATTTTTCATTTCTCATTTCTGATTCTGTTTATGTGTGTAGACTCTCTTTTTTTCTTGATAAGTCTGGCTAGAGGTTTATCTGTTTTGTTTATTTTCTTGAAGAACCAGCTCTTGCTTTCATTGATTCTTTCTATTGTTTTATTCTTCTTGATTTTATTTATTTCTGCTCTAATGTTTATTATGTCCCTCCTGCTACTGATTTTGGGACTCATTTGTTCTTCTTTTTCTAGCTTCATTAACTGTTAGTTTAGACTGTTCATATGGGCTTGTTCTTCTTTCCTGAGGAAGGCCTGTATTGCAATATATTTCCCTTTTAGCAAGGCCTTTGCTGCATCCCACAGGCTTTGCAGTGTTGAATTATTGTTGTCATTTGTCTCCATATCTCCATATATTGGTTGATCTCTGTTTTTACTTGGTCATTGATACATTGGTTATTTAGGAGCATGCTGTGGTGCCTCCATGGGTTTGTGGGTCTTTTCGTTTTCTTTGCATAATTTATGTCTAGTTTCATTCCTTTGTGGTCTGATAAGCTGGTTCGTAGAGTTTTAATCTTTTTTAATTTACTGAGGCTCTTTTTGTGACCTAGTATATGATCTATTCTTGAAACTGTTCCATGTGCACTTGAGAAGAATGTGTATCCTGTTGCTTTTGGATGGAGTGTTCTGTAGATGTCCATTAAGTCCATCTGTTCTAATACGTTGTTCAGTGCCTCTGTCTCCTTACTTATTTTCTGTCTGGTTGATCTGTCTTTGGAGTGGGTGGTGTGTTGAAGTCTCCTAAAATGAATGCATTGCATTCTATTTCCCCTTTCAATTATTAGTATTTGTTTCACTTATGTAGGTGATCCTGTGTTGGATGCACAGATATCTATAATGGTTATATCTTGTGGGATTGACCCCTTTATCATTACATAATGTCATATCATTCAGTAGTCCTAGGCTTCCACTCCCTCCCCACTCCATTTCTCTTCCTCCTGCTGGTAAGCTGGGGTGGGGGCAGGGCTTGGGTCCCACCAGGTCATGGCTTTGGTATTACCCTGTTCCATGAGGTCTGTTCTTTTCTCCATGTGTATGCAGTCTGGCACAACCTTCTTTCCTGCTGCTCTTTCAGGATTAGTTGTATTAATTATATTTTCATATTATATGCGGTTTTAGGAGGAGGCCTCTCTGTCACCTCTCACACCACCATCTTTAATCTCCCTCCCCCCTATGTTTTATGTTCTGTTGAACTTTTCCTCATGTAATCATTTGGATACAGTACAGTTGACAATCTTGCCTACTGCTAATTTGGGCCAGTGACATAAAACTCATCAGATTTGTTTAAAGTTTTCTTTTGGTAGGAAATGCTACAGCACATGAAGAAAAGACTTACAGGGAAGAGAAACTTGTATACCTATTTAAAAAGTGGTCAGCTATGCCCATAATAAATACTAAAAATTCTGCTGGGAAAGAGTAATATAGGGGGAAAAAAAATCTAAATAGCTTAAGTCAGTCTACCTTTCTTTGAGGCTTTTACCTTTCAGTATTAAAAAGAAGCACCTTAGGCAAAATAAATTACCCAAACAATCAAAACTCTTAAATATTCTTAAGAAAACAAATTACCCTCTAGCATCAATTATAGAGTCACAAAAAGACTGATGTAAATTTTCAATGAAAATAACAGCAAAGGTTATATCATTTATTTAGATTGACCTTCCAAACTTTAAGTAAAATTTCCTCCCATAAAGAAGGAAGAAGGAATACATTTAAGGAAGATGCCACTACTGATTAGCTAAAAGGAAAACAATGTAAACAAAAAAATATGTCCTAAATGGCTCTATATAAATTACCAAATTAAAACTCATAAAATGTAAAAACAGTATCACATATATTGATGCTGACTTTTATATTTAAAATAAGCACTTTTCTCTTTCAGGCAGCAATTACCCTCCAACATTTCCTTCCTCAGCTAAGCTAAAGGATGTAAGAGTGCACTACCAGGATATACAGAAGGCTAATAAAACAGTCTTAGAATTATAGAAATACGGTGAGGTACAGGGGGATGAGAAACAGAGTCCAGTATCTTTCTGTTTAGTCCTAAAGTTCAAATGAATGAAGTTTCAAGCTATCAATTCAGCAATTGGTTAATAATAGTCAATATAAGACATTTCGGTAATCTTCGTGGGTTGAATTAAAAGGTCAAACCACTTTTAAGACCCTTTTGGTAAAGATAATTCATAGTAAATATGGTATCATCATCAGTGGGAGACAAAATTTTGCAGAACAAAGTTTCTCCTCTCTGCTCTTACCCACCTTCTGTGAACAAGATACTATAAATAAGGATCTATAAAAATGGTGCATTGTTTATGAAAGAATAGGGCAGGACATGAATTCACTTTTTCAATCTATTTACCTTCTGAAAGCAGGATTCAGCACATGTGAATTCTACATAGTAGAATGGGATTTTTTCTCTATTTACCTTAATATTTATTTGGATACAATTTTGAAGATCAGGGAATTAAATAATAAACTATGATATATATTACTGGTAAGGTAATTAAGAAATATACTCACCATTTTTTAGGCTTTGACAATAGTTTGTATTTGCTGTACTTTACACGCCATTCAAGAACTTCTTTACAGTGCTGACATACTCCATCATGAAGTTTTGCATTGATTTTCTTAAAAACAAAGAGAAAAACAACAAATTGAACCTGGGAGCCAGCACTGCAAGCCCCATGAAAAAGGGACACAAGAAATTTAAGTTTTTTAAAAATATTAACCTAACCTTAATCTGGGTAATATTTTATGACATATTATGTATTTTTATGTCTATTACTCAATTTGGTTCTTCAACAAAAGCAAAAACTCTTAACTGGGCATAGCTCAGAATGATTAGGACATTTTTTAACTTCTTGGCAAGAGTATTTGAAGGAAGTCTTCCCCATTAAATCAGATGTATACATATGTAAAAACTCAAGCTAAGTTAAGTTTAAGATGTATGGATTTTTAACTATATGTAAGTTATATCTCAATAAAAATGTATAATAAAAAAGAAAATCTTATTTATACTTTAAGATTCCTGGTTTGACAGTTCAAATCTGACCACTAAGAAATGAGAACATAAACTGAGAAGTGGGATAGCTGTGAACTGTCGGCCTGTAGGGGAGAGCAGAGACTAAGAAACTTGAGAAACAAGTGCCAGAGAAGCAGCTGGAAGTAAAAAGCATTTAATTATTCAATTGAATCCTTTTGTAGTCTCACATAAATGAAAATGTTTTAGAAAAGCTACCATGCTAACCTAATTTCTTCAGAACAAAATAAATATGTGCATATGAATATGTGGTGAGAAAAGAGCTTTATGAGAAAAAAAACTTTTCATTATAATTTTCCTCTCAAAATGTGTTGGAAAGTAAGGAGGATGGGAATTTTTTTAATTAGTCATGTTCTGCATAACAGTTTTGTATTTTACAACATCCATTTGTTAAGAACCTAGACTATATACTTTCACTAACTACCCTGAGATTCTCTAACTGGCTATAGAAGCCTGGTCTTCACCTATTATAATAATGAACAGAAGACATTTTAAGTCTTCTTTGCTTCCTTTGGTCTTTTTTAATTTCTCAAGAGAAGAAAGATAAGTATCACAAAAGATGCAGATTGTTTGGGAGGTTATTTGACAGTGAGTTAAAAGCACAACTTAGAGTCATCTGAAAGGAAACTTTTGAACAGTGCTTGATATTCCTTAAAGTTCTAAACAAGGTAAAAATGATTTGAGAAAACATTTATTCCAAGAGAAAATATTTCAAGGGTACTTTCAAAAGCCATAACTTAAGCTGTGAACACATTATGTTTGAATTTTACTTTGTGGCAAAAAACACTGTTACTTATGAATTGTGTACAGGTGTTCCTTTCTTCCTGACCTAGATGCAGAGTTCCTGGGAAAATTAATTTTGCAAGCTAAATGTTGCTAGGAAGAAGGAAATCTGTGCTTATACCAATCTCCTCTTATCAACGTTGATACGTAATTATCACATATAGGGCTGCTAAGAAATACCCAAAACTAAAGTTCACATTTCATCATTTGTTCTCATTGCCCTCTGTTGCTTACAATATCTTGAGAAAAATATTACTTACATTTTTCTAACAATAATGGAAATAAACTAATGACTTGAACTATGATTACAGTACAAATGTGATATAAACTTTCTAATTAGAATATTCCTAGAAGACAGAAGTATTTCATTGCTTGCAATTTTAGTATATGTAACACACTATGCTTGTTAACTAGGAAGCATTATTTGGTTTCCTATTTGTATCCAATTTCTGACCAGTTCATCTTGATTTACAAAGCTGCACATAGTTTGGAAACTGGTTTCTTTAGGGTGGATGGGACAGCAGAACAAAACAAGTCTTTGTAAGAACTTGTCCTGTGAGTGATGTGGATAACAATACAAATGGAGATGCTATACTGAATTCACATGACTAACAGGCACTACTACAAAATTAAGCTTGTAGTAGTGAGTTAAGAAATGAGTAAGAGTAAGAATGAAAATGAATAGTACTTTCACTTAATAATAGTTTCAGAAAGAAAGCTGTGCACCTTCTATAACATTATTTTAGCAAACCAGAAAAGGTGAATTCCAAAGATGTGACCCAGGAAAGCTTAAATGCTAATTCTAGGAATCATTTGGCCTGGGGCAAAGGAGATGGCAATCTTACCTTACTCACACCATATTCACAATTAATTCTGTTTTGGCAATTAATTTTAGTTTATCCCTCATGATAGAAGATCATAGGTTATTAAGTTAAGATTTAAGCAAGTCCAAATATAAATAAAAAATAAGTACAAAAGCCTTTAAAGATAATTTAGTTTAACAAGCAACTTTCCAGACTTTTAAAGGAAAAAAATCTTCATTGGAAGATTCCACTAAACTTAGGAATCTTAGATAAAGAGGAAAACCTTAGTTACCAAGTGGTACGTGAATACTTTTTTTAAAAAAACTCAGAATAAACTTAAGGTGTATCAAAAGACAATCCTATTTAGAGACTCAACGGGAAGATGGCGGCATGAGTAGTTCAATGGAAATCTCCTCTCCAAAACATGTATATTTATGAAAATACAATAAATACAACTATTCCTAAAAGAGACACCAGTGGATGCAGTACAACAACCAGGATACATCTACATCTGTGAGAACTAAACATCACACGAAGGGGGTAAGATACAAGCCGCGGCCAGGTGGGACCTGAACAATCCCCCAACTCCAGAACCTGGTGGAAAGGAGTCAGAATGGGGAGGGAGTGAAAGCCCAGGAATGCTAAACAACCAGCTCTAGAAATCCACACCCAGAGCGCAGACACAAGGTGCATGGGGTGCTGGATATTAGAGAAACGGAAAAGCAAAACTTGTGGGCAGGTCCCCACAACCGGCGCCCCTGAGACAAAAGAAAAGTGAGTGCTTTCTGCAAGTCTTAAAGTGACAGGGACCTCACAGCTGGACGAAGTCATCCCAGCACACTTAGCCAGCAGCTGGGAATCCCAGGGAACTTATGGCGCCCTAAACCCCTGGGCAGCAGTGCAGCTCTGAAGCCCCTCACAGCACTAAGAAGCCTGCCAGTTGTTCCCTCAATGGGCACAGACCCCGACACACTGGCCCAGTAGTGGGAGAGCGGCAGCATGCGACGGGGGAGGTGGTGCCGGAAGGGACCAGGAGCGGATTGCATGCACTGGCAGCATCAGAGGGGAGTGGGAGCAGCTTGTGAGAGCCCACTGCGGCAGCGACCAAACAGACCAGTTGCAGCACACATGCACTGGTGGCAGTGGCGCCAGGAGAGCCCGGGAGAGGTCCACGCGGGAGACAACCACGCACACCTGCAGCGGTGCCAGAGGGAGCAGCCACAATCCCAGCAGCCGAACAGAATCCCAGCCTGACACACGGCCGCCCGGGAAAGACCCAAAGGTCACTGCTGGCATACAGCTGCCCGGCAGAGGCACCGCTATTGCGGAGGAGCACACCTGGCATGCCTGCCACTCCCCGTAGGGCTCTGTGCTGCTCTGACAGAGAACCCACCCACAGCAGCTTAGGGGACTAACCTGGTGGCTGCTCCAGGACTGCAGGTAACCAACACAGGCAGCGGAGAAGGGCAAGGCATCCAGCAAGCAGGAAAGGACTTTCCTCTCCCAGGTGACACACCCACAACCTGCCTAGAGCCACCACTATCAGCATGAAAAGGCAAAAAAATTTAGTCCAGTCCAAGATAGTTCACACAACACCTGGGAGAGGATCTGCAGAGACAGATCTAACCAGTCTCCCCGAAAAAGAATTCAAAATAAAAATCATAAACATGCTGACAGAGAAGCAGAGAGAGCTAAGGGATGATGTCTGAAGGGAGATTACAGAAGTGAAACAATCTCTGGAAGGATTTATAAGGAGAATGGATAACATGTAAGAGGCCATTGATGGAATAGAAACCAGAGAACAAGAACGCATAGAAGCTGATGCAGAGAGAGATAAAAGGATCTCCAGGAAAGAAACAATATTAAGAGAACTGTGACCAATCCAAAAGGAACAATATCCACATTATAGGGGTACCAGAAGAAGAAGAGAGAGAAAAAGGGATAAAAAGTGTCTTTGAAGACATAATTGCTGAGAACTTCCCCAAACTGGGGGAGGAAATAGTTGTTCAGACTACGGAAGCACACGGAACTCCCAACAGAAGGGACCCAAAGAGGACACCAAGACACATAATAATAAAAACAGCAAAAGATCAAGGACAAGAACAGAGTATTAAAGGCAGCCAGAGAGAGAAAAAAAGGTCACCTTCAAAGGAAAACTCATCAGGCTATCATCAGACTTCTCAACAGAAACCTTACAGGCCAGAAGAGAACAGGATGATATATTCAAAGTAATGAAACAGAAGGGCCTTGAACCAAGGATACTGTATCTAGCACGATTATCATTTAAATATGAAGGAGGGATTCAACAATTCCCAGACAAGCAAAAGTTGAGGGAATTTGCCTCCCACAAACCACCTCTACAGGGTATCTTAGAGGGACTGCTCTAGA